AATCGTCGGCGCGCGAAGAAAGTTCAATAATCGCGCAAGAATCGCTCGACCTCTTTACGAGGCTTAAATTCTGCTCTACTTTTACGATCGATCGTTATTATATGCTTACCGATCGATGTATGTATATTATAAAATACACGTGAATTTTTTCGTTGTTTATTTAGACGAGCGCTTCGAGAACACGAGCTATAAATTTGGAGCAATCGCAATTATCGACTTGTAATTGTCGCTTCTTTTTTTTTTTTCATGTACCCCGCGGGCGAATATCTGCCTGCGTTACATTGCGTTGACGCATAGGTGCGAGAATCGTGGCTCGATATAAAATTTTATCCTCGATTCATCTCTGCGCCGTAATTATATCGTCCGAATTTGTCTCGAAATACACATCGTCGCCTCAGCGCAAGAACCGCACAAATAAACTCAAGTGGCAAAAAGGTGCCTTAATCCTATCCTTTTAACATAGGGATAAGGTTGTTTTTGCCCCTTAAGTTTATTTGTGCGGTTCTTGCGCTGGGGCGACGACATATAATAACAGTTACTTAAATTCCCATCGCTCATAATTCTCCCCTCCTTCTCTCTCTCTCTTATATATCTGGCAGCCTTTTTTACTTTTTGCGCAGGCTGATCCGAAAAGAGCTCGAAAATCGGAGGTATACGGGAGGGCTGCGAGACACGAGTCGAATTCCGTTGAAGCCGCGCATACATACGGTAGCAATGCACTCTTGATGCGCCGCGCGGGCAGGACGGGGATAAAGATCGGCGACGAGACGTGACGCGGATGTGGCGATGCGCGCACCACTCGCATGTACGCATCGGGAATTATAACCGTTTCTCGGATAAACATGCCAAATTTGCCGGATAACGATGACGTTCATGCGAAGTAATATTACGTCGAGAGCTCGTCGCTTTTCGGCTTTATACACAGCCTCATATACCGAACGAGCTTCGTGCACATATTAAATCACGTTCGCAGCCACACGACGCGTCGATCAAGTAAGTACACATAATGAGCGTATAACGTGTAGATAAATAAAAAATGAGAAGAAGAAAATAAAAGAAAAGAAGAATATAAATAAGCCGCGACAGATGCAATAGACCGCGCGCAGGAGTTACACAGCTCATTGCGCGCATTATGCTATACACACGCGTGTATATACAATAATATGAAGCAGCACGAACGAACGAGTGAATAGCCGTGCGCGCATGCCATGCATATACTGAACTAATCGTCAAACGAGCAATTAACACTTGTAATGGGCACATAATTGCCGCGCGCAGGCGACTATTTGTTATCGCTTATACGTCGCGAGCGCCGCATGTGCTGTGCACAATACGTCGCGAGCGCCGCATGTGCTGTGCACAAACGCGACGAGCTTAGCTTAGCTATATGTATATACGTTATGTGTATGTATATTCGCGCGTGCGTCATTTTCACGCGTGTCTAACGCGACTCACTTTGATGGATATACAAGCAGGCGGTAATGGTACTACGTGCGTAAACGTTGTACGCGAGCTTAAATACACTATAGATGCAAGTGCGGGTATGCTATGCAAGCGAGCGAGTGAGCAACGGGAGCAGCGCAGAGATTACGAAAGTAAAGAGAGAGAGAGAGAAAGAGAAGAGTGCGTTTGTCATTTCAAACAAAACACGGTGATTTTTTCCTCTCGCTTCAAATGTATACTCTTCTTCGTAAATTCAAACATTTTTATTGCTATAATCTGCAATTGAACGATTATAGATACTTTTGCTTTTTCTCTCTTTCTCACTCGCACGCACGTCATTGATCGCGAATTCACATTGCCGAAGCCCTTGGATCTTTATCGATCTTCCAGACGTATTATTATATACACACGCACTAATTCGATAGCACTGCGCGATTGCCAATATATATTTATGGGAAAATATTTCAAAAATCTCGGCTACCGTGTACGATACAAACGTGTAATACAGCGAGATACTTGCGATGACGAAAGCTCATACGTATCTTTTCTCGAGGAGTATGGAAGAAAAAAAAATGTGATAAAAATTCCTACGCAGGTCGATTATATCCAGAGCTCGATATGTATAATATATAATTTCCTGTCTCTGCTACGTACGCGTCGTCGACCCGATGCATATTATATATGTATACCGATCACACGTGTATGTAAGCCGCAGTGAGAACGTCGCATGCGCGGCAAAAATTTTCACCGCAATCGCAATTATGATCGAGCAAATCGCTATGTATCGAGTTTAAATAAAACGTATATCGAGCGATCGGACGCAAAGAGCTAGAGGTGGATATTATACATATGGCGCATTACACGAGTAGTGCCGATCGAAGATCTGCATTAGCCATCTGCGATCGAACTCGACGTCGAATTAATCTCTCAATTTGTCGATATACAATAATGTATTAATGTGTTTAGAATCGATGAGCGCGCGACTAGTTACGGCTGCTCATAAGCTCGAGCTTTGACGCGATTGTGTGTGTGTGTGTGTCGAATTAATACGAGCTTTTCTCTTCTGCTCCATCGTTTATAATAAATATACGTCGCATTGGCCGTGTACATTATACCGACCGCATGATTGATACGACGTTGCCTATAATGTATATCATGCATCGTCGTACACATAGCTGTGACTTATAAAAAGAAACTTTAAACCGCCTCGGTCGAGTTTTCACCTGCGGTTTTAATGCACAAACACACACACGTGTGTTTTTATATACATATGCGCGCCTTCTTGCAGATCGCTCGGCGTGGATGATTGTTTTCGATTTGACGCGCGAGAGTATAAGAGAGAAACCGAGAGAGAGACACAGAAAGGGAGAGAAGAAATTAGCGAAGCGAGCGGGATTTTTGCACACACCATGTGGCACATGTATGTATATACGATCGCGAGCACGTTCCACGCGGTGACTGTGCAGTGCACGTAGGACGCGACGTGCTATAATATATATGTGCCTCTGCTGCTACGACTTTCGCGTTGTGCACCGTTAAAAAGAGAAGAAAAAAACAACAACGACGACGACGACAATCGCGCGCCGATCGTCGTCGTCGTCGTCCTGTCCTTGCCCGCTTGAATTCTCATATACACTTATTATGAGCGCGTGGTCGTTATATTATTATATATTATACACGTATACATATACGGCCCGGAGAGGAGGCATCATAAAAGTCATCGGTATAATGGATCTATTTATTCGAATCGACGTTGAAGCTAGGCTTGTGGAGCTCGGAGCAGCTCGTCTACTACGTTTATAACGCGGCGCAGCTCAGCGTAGATATATATATATTCTGGCAAGGTTCGTATATTAGTTATATGGTCGTTCGCACGTTTCGGAATTGCACAACTTTGAAGCGATCTCGCGCGCGCGCCAGCGAGAGCAGAAGGCGGCTTATAGACGTTCGAGGCAGTTCGAGAGTGAACGTCGCGAGCACATATATACACACGTACAGCACACACAGGTATATGTACAGAGAGCAGCAGAAGCACAGCAACTCGAGGAGAGCAAGACCACGATGCTCTCGAAAAATTCGATATCATTTTTCTTGGCCATGAGGATCGCCGCGCACGAGCTCTTGAAACGGATTTTTCGGACCTACATTATGTGTACTTATACGTATATTTTGGTCCCGTCCTTTATAAAATAAATGCACATATATATGTACATGCGCCACGCGAGATCGAGAGCCTCGAGAGCTGAATCGACTCGAGTGCATACAACATGTGAAAGCTCTCTCGATGCTGCATGCTCGCAGGACGAATGCATACATATCGTACGTATATGCAACACACACACACATGCGCGCGTGATCTGATTTTTCACTTGTCTGTTACCGCGGTGCACCTTGTATGTGCACCGAAGTTTCGTATACGCGCAACTTGTAGACTTATTTTGTCGCGCTCGTGCAGTGCTCTGGCTTACGTGCGTGAGAAAGAGAGATAATAAAGACGAGCGGACGACGTGCGCGGGGAATAATTTTTTTTATCATCTTTCTCATATAGGATAATGAGATTATAATATGTAACGCGTGTGTGTGTGTGTTGCGTTCGCACCTGTGTGCGTGCGTTCTCGAGTATACCTGTGAATTGCTCGCGATTCGTGAGAAAGCCGCGGAGATTTACGAATTTATAATGTATAAATTCATACACATTTGAACGGTCATGGGTAATGATTTTACGAAGTATAAAAAAACAAAATTAAGCGTACACTGCCCTGTGCGATCGCGAAGATCATCATTCGATTTTTTTCGTAAACATCACACACTCGTATGATAATAAGTGCGTATGCACGTTGCGAGCGTTCGCGCGAGCTGTAAAAACGCGAGTAATTTTATTTCACTCTGACTTTTTTTTCGCCACTTTCGTAATCAAAAATGTATATTATACATAAATAATTCGCAGCTCCGAAATTTTCATTTCGCTCCATGGGCGGCGTGTATATGTAAGCTCATCAGATAAGAGAAACGTGTGAAATGTTCTTTACCGAGCATGAAATTCCGTCTTTTTTTTATTCTTATTATTTTGTGTTTTTTTAGTACTTTCGCCCGTATTTTTTTTTACTAATTACACACGGCCGAACGATTGCACAACGATCAGCAGCGAGACACATAGCTGCGAATTACACGCGTATCGACGTTCATTAAACGATCATTTCTTTTTTTTTTTTTTTTATGGTGTATATCACCTGGTTCCGTGCGTTATTGTACTACGATATCGAAACTCTTTCATTTTTCCCCCGCGCTTACATATTTACGGGCGCATAGCGCCGAGGTATGCGTGTCTACCGCGAGTGTATGTCACAAGACCACTAATATCGCCAGCGCGCGGCTCTTGCGTTGGGCAACAACGGAGAACGTGTGAAAATCAAAGTCCTATAGTTCTGTTGCTGCGCACACAAGGGGAACTGTATAGACACACTGGTCGCGTACGTCGGTAGCGCGCGAGTGAATGGAAATCGTACATTACGGATCTGGTAGCGCGAGTGGTTTGAAAAAAAAATAATAATTTTTACCTGTTGATTTGCTCGAACTTCCAATTTGAGTAAAAATAAGACGAGACTCGTTGTTTTTAACCAAACAATTAAAACTTGGACTATTTGCTATATGCTACACTCAACACAACAATTACTTTATTTGCACAATGACTTGACGGCTGATGAATTTCGATCTATTTCGATTCTTTTATACGGAATATATAAAAGCGAATGTAACGACGACGTTCTCGACGATGTTGATTGCACTGCCACGATTTTTTTTATTCTCTCTTTTTTTCTCTCGGTATACGAAAAAAATAAAGAAAAACCCACTCACTGCAGCAGCATCATCTCAGCCTTGAATGTTATATACAAATATGTAATACCACGCGCGATCGAACGCGATTGCTGCAACCGAAGTAAAAGTCACCACTGTATCACACTATATATATTATACGATATCGACTTTATTGGAAGTCGAGCGCGGCACTGCACACAGTATGGTTACTGATTTTTTATTATTAAAAACACAAAACAATCTTTTTTTATTTAGAAAAAAAAAGGAAAAAGAAAAAAAGGCGAAGAAAGAGCTGCAACTACTACGAGGAGAAGGACTTGAGTTGTTGCTGCTTCTGCGGCGGCGATGTTGGTCTCGCCTGTTTCATTTTCACCGAGCGACTGACTCTCGTCTCGGGTCTCTGGCTGGCGCGGAGCCCCCACGAGCGGAGGATATATCCATGGAGACCCGAGAGAGGTACATTAACTCCCACTTGCGCGCCAGAGAGCGAGCTCCGTGCGCCGCGCCGCGCGCTCTCGCTTTCGCGAGACAGAGAGATACAGAGTGAGAGAGAGAGAGAGAGAAGGCAAGGAAAGGAAAGGAAAGAGAGGTAGGTATATAAGGTGCAGAGAAAGAAAAAGAGACGGAGAATGAGGAGAGACCCCCCGTAGTATTACATTTTTACGCACGTTTAACAGACACTTTTGTTGTAAAATTTTTCGTCATTTTCCTTTCTTCGTTTTTCTCGAGTCCTTTAGTTTTTTAATTTTACTTTTTGTTTTTCCATCTCGGCGCGTACAGTACATTACGCGTAAGCAGTACGTGTGCGTATAGTGCATAAAATATATGTGGAGCATATACGCGAAGCAGCAGCAGCGACGGCAGAGAGTACCGGTGACAGGTACGCGCGCGGTTAACGATCTCTCGGGCGCCTTTTTGCAAATACGCAGCTCAGCGTACACGTATAATATGGTGGCTGCTGGCCGATCGTTTCGAGCGAGCTTTGATTTTCATTACTCAAAGAGGCTTATTACCGATAATTGGCTCGTACGACGACGACGACGGGCCGCCCCGAAACAGTCGGATGTATTACGCTCTGCATAAATATCGGTACCTAAGCTATACTCATTGACTATAGGTACGAGACCGCGCGACTCTCTATAAGGACGCAGTTACTAATACGTTTAATACGTGCATTTAATGTGTGTGTGTGCGGGAGGCGACGTAGGTGGTGCCGCGCGGTGTTGTTGGTACCGCGCAGTGTCATACGTATATATAATAATAAAACACGTAGTAGGTATATATATCGGTACGTTACGATAACGATCTTCGGCGATCGTAAACAGTTGTTGTTATTCCTTATTGGCTAATTATTAACAAGCCAATAGCGTGTACATATAGGGCCAGCACAACACCGCAGCAGGCGCGCGCGCGCACCTATACCTACACATTGGATGGTATATTTTTCGCGCTTTTCACTTACACGTATAGGATAGGTATGTAGAGCCGCGAATAAAAGCGCAGCGGCGCTGCTGCGGTGCAGTGCACCAGCTTCGCCCGAGATATAATCTATTATATATATTATTAATTTCACACTCGTTTCTCAGGAAAATCTCCCGCGTAACAATAACGGTGTGTTATATGAAGTCGCGCGAGCTATAGCTGTGCCTCGAAAGAGAGCTAGAGCTAGGTAGGTAGGTAGCTGTGACGTGTATCTCTTCTACGTTATATATAATACGTAATGATAATAATAAATGCTGCGAGACAATGAAGCGCGACGAGCTGCTGCTGCTGCAGCTAGACCTTACGTAACGCGTCGTTGTCGTCGTAGTCGGAGTCACTGTGCGGTTCAACGCGCCGACGCCGAATTACCCTGTCTTTCCCCGAATAAGCTTTTTATAATTACTTATGATAATAATGCGACTTAGAACTCTCTCTCTCTCTTTCTTTAGAGCAACAACAGCAACAGTAACAGCGACAGCATGGGCTAAGGCGGTGATATTATAACGACTTCCGTTTTCTCACGCTTGTGCAGTTGAGTCGTCGTCGTCGTTGTTTGACGCGATTAGTTTTCGCGACTGAATTTCGTCGCGCAGTCAATTTATGTATCCTACATTATATAGGCACGATGCAGTAGTGCAATATATACGAGAGGTGCACATTAGCATCTGATGCTAAAGGATCGAGGCAAGCGAGTAAAGGAGATCTGCTCTGGCTTCGCGACGAGAAGAAAAAGTTGCTGGAGAAGCTTTGACGGTAAATGTTATTAGGGATTATTTATACCTTTATGGGGCTTATAATGATTGTCCCGCGATATCTTCCGCTGCTTTCCACGACGATACGCGTTTATAAGCATCGATGAATATTTTATGAAAATGCACAGGCGGTGAATTTCGATGAAGATCGCGATCGCGACTGCTCTCGGCTGCGCGGCTACGTGTTTTCATGCGACACATTCTCGCGATGAAAGGGGGAAAGAAAAAGGAAGAGGAGGAAGGGAAACGTCTGTCCGCGCGACGACGACGCGACGTCGATCGCGAGCAATGCAGCGACAGTTTTTTAATCCGATTAGAAATATTGTTCAATCATTCGAGTTCTTGCTAGATAGTTATGCGCCGCAGTTGAGTAATATTATATCAATCAAAACCGAGCGATATTATACAAACTCGATCGAACTGACCGCGCGCACACGCGTGTGCACCAAAGTGCTTCGGACTCAGTCAGTTGGAAAATTTCCTTACAGACATTGTTTCCTGGATAATCGATTGCGTGTATATATACGTCGATCGACGCCTTGTAACGCTCTCCAACAAGGCCGTAGACAAAAGTAAAAATTCTTTCGAATATTTGTACAATAAAAATGGAGATCGTTATCGTCGGCGACCGATCACTGCCAAAACTCGTGCGAGGCGGGGGGATCGGCTCATATAGCGCGCGCAGCTACCGCGACAGAGGCTAATGGCAATTTATATCGTTGTCGTGCCGCGGCTCGTGGTGGCCCTATAATATAAAGCTCATTAAGCACTGCAGCATATTCCGCCCATTGCCTTATTGTATACACACACCGCGAAAATAGAGAACGTTTTTCGCTCTCCCACAGTGTCTTTGATTTATACACTGAGCAGCTTATATAGCGATCTTGGTGCTGCTGCTGCTGCAAAGTCGAGATTCTCTCTCGTTTTTAAGTGCATCGGTCGTATATAATAAAACGTGCGCTCGCTCGAGTTAGATATATAAATTTTTTTTTTAATTCGACCGTACGAATGCAAGAGTATAACAGCAGTGCGACGATTGATTTCACAAGGGCGCGGTAATAATAATGATCTATAAAGAGAGGCCTGAAAGCGCCACGCCGAACAATGTGGGTCAAGAACATTGAACACGCCGAGCGCGTTTCCTTTTTCACTTCGTCCAACTCTCCAGCGACTTGGGAGAGGCAGGAGACCGCGCGATGACTGCTGCTGCTGCTGTTCTTGCTGCTGCTGCTGCATTTTAGCGCTCGAGTTATGGTAGTTATGTCACATTTTTACACGTTGATTTAATATGGAATAGTGATCGATACTGTACTTAATAGATAAAGCAATTAAACTCGAGAACTAAACATTAGACAGGATGTGGTAATTACCACGCGTAAACGAAGCCAGCGTGGTATATTATATTGCACGTCGCACACGAGTGAATGATGGATTTCGAACGAAAAAAAAAGCTCGCAACGCGGTATATCGAAAGTTTCTAACTTGGAAAAGTATTCGTATTGTCCTACTATTTGCGATATTTCGACACAATTTAAAATCGCAGGTGTATATGCATCGAGCCGAGCGCCGCGGTATACTTATAGGGACGAAATTCCAAGTCACCCAGTGGTGCACACGGCAATGCGTGCACTTTTATTTCTATTTAAAATCTTGGCTCGCTGGAGCACTTTCACCTGTTGCGCCGCGTAAGTATAAGCATGGCAACCTGTGCGCTCGCTCGGCGCTCCAGTTTCGCGCAGTTATATACGCAGTCCGCGCGGGGCCGCGTACATATATACATAAGCCGATAGGCATATATTACATTACGACGTAGCCGATGTGTACGTATGTATCGCTTCCGATATATAGATTCAAAGTCGCGTCCGCTCTCGCTCGCGCGCGCGTATCTATATTATAACGACGTTGAGTTCGTATAAGCGATCGTCGCGATCGCCGATTCGAGAGTCCGCGGGGCTGCTGTTACTCCTGCTGCTGCTGCTAACGCGAGAAACGCGAATATATAGCGTGTGTGTGTTAAATGCGTGCATGCCGCGCAGCGCACAAATTCTCCTTTACGCTTAATAAGTACGTATGGGCAGAGATCGGAAATCGCAATTGCCGCCGCCGGTCGAGCTGGCGATCGGTTGTATTATATAGGAAAACCGCGCGATGAAAGTATTTATAACATTAACGCCAACGTTTGCGACTGGCATCGTAAATATCTATAAGCCGATAAGGCGCTCTTACATTATACGGCCGATGCTGAAAAGCATCCTTATTATGCCGTATTTGTACACGCGCGAAAGTGTGTGTACGTATCATAGCTGCGAGAGAGCTATGGAAACCATTTATTAAGAATCGGTTAATAATAATAAATATTTGCGCGCGAGCTAGCCCATTGGTGTCGCGGAGCCGACGTTTCACACATACATCGCAAAGAATCGAGCAGCCGATTGAGGTACGGTCGAAAAATCATAAAGCTGCGCTCGTGAATGATCGGTATTATACATGGGGGCTTTTACGGGCTGCTCGGTGTAGCAGTGCGAGGGCGATCATCCGCGAGCGCGTCTCATAATTTCCGTAGCCGACTTTTCCTCAGAGGCTTAACGAGACACGTACGTACGTACGTACGTTCGTACACGATATAAAGAATAGAACGCGGAAGGACAGCCTAAAATTTTCTGCACAAACATAGACACACACGATTTGCGGACATCACCAAGCAGACTGTAAATCTTCGTTGAAAACAGTACCACACCCCGTAAATCGCTTGGCCGCTGAGGACTTTTGTGTTATGCGCGTGTGTGTGTGTGTACATGCCGGTGAAGCGGTGAACTGCGCGCTCATCTTGACGTACTTATAACGTACTTACACGATGATCCAACTGTACGGTTTTATACACACTATGCACCGAGCGGAGCACACGCGAGAGCCGAGGCTTCAGCTCGAGATGCTGCATCCACGCACACACATACACACACTCGCATGCATAAATATATATAAATCGTTTAAGAGCCCCGGAAGATGCACGACGACGATTTCTTATATACGTATGTATAAAAGAGAGAGAGAGAAGGCATATAACAGCGATTTATATGCTTTTCT